CTCCGGGCCCCTTCCTCTCCTTCCCCAGGCACTACCTGCGGGGTTTGCCTGGCGCTGCAAAACGCCTGGGGGCGGCGGATTCTGCTCCAGGAGTTGCAGGGCGCGGGGAGGGGCGAGCTTTACAAAGGAAACTGAGTCAGAGAACTTGCTTCTAATGAGCGCACAATGAACCCTAGTGCCCAGCGCCCGGCAGGAGACTTACTGCTAAGAGTCAGCGGAGAGCGGGCCCTGAGGCAGTGGGGCTGGGCTGTCTTTTGCAAAACGCCTGGGGGCGGCGGATTCTGCTCCAGGAGTTGCAGGGCGCGGGGAGGGGCGAGCTTTACAAAGGAAACTGAGTCAGAGAACTTGCTTCTAATGAGCGCACAATGAACCCTAGTGCCCAGCGCCCGGCAGGAGACTTACTGCTAAGAGTCAGCGGAGAGCGGGCCCTGAGGCAGTGGGGCTGGGCTGTCTTTCAGCTACAGGCTCCGTAAGACTCCTCGGGGAGGAATAAGGGGGATCGGCACCAGGTGCGCGCTGCCCGAACCGGCAGGGGAGTTGCTGCTAAATGCCAGCAGGGAGCCGGCCCTGACGCAATGGGGCTGAGCTGCCTTTCAACTACACGCTCCATAAGGCTACTCGGGGAGTTGGGTTGAGGAGTAAGAGGGATCGGCACCAGGTAATCTCCCCATTGACGGTCGTCGCCTGTCACCAAGTGGCCAATCGATCCCATCTCGAGCTGCAGCTACTCTGGTCATACAGACTCTCCACCCTTCACCCCTGTTGCTCCCCCCCCCCCCGCTTTGTTCCCCATATTTGTTCTCTGGCCCTGTCCGGAAGTCAAAGACAGGGACCGCCCCGTGTGCTCGGTGCTGCATAAACACTCACTGACACAAACTCTAGGAATTTACTCTCCAGCACGGCCCTCCCCACCAGGGTGGGATTAAGACCTTTAGAGGCCCTAAGCTCTGCAAAAGATTATGGTGACCCCCATATGTTATTCAAAATAAAAACAATACTATACAGTAAAATCATTTGTGTGTGTGTGTGTGTGTGTGTGTGTGTGTGTGCGTGCCCTAGCTTTGCTGGTGCCCTATTGGGTAATCCAGCCCTGTTCCCCCCCATACTCCTCTGTGGGGCTTGGCTCCTGAAAGATACCTGGGACATGAATGGAGAGTGCCCGGCACCTGGCAGTGGACACCAGCAGTCAGGGATGGGTAGGCCCTGTTCCCCCCCCCCTTCTCCCCCTGGCCACTTTGGTGCTATGCCATCCCTATCTGTCTGTCTATCTCAATGCGCCCAACCTGTACCCATCCATCCACCTCCATATGCATCCTATCTATCTATCTATCTATCTATCTATCTATCTATCTATCTATCTATCTATCTATCTTCCTGTGATGGCACGTGGGGGTTTCCCATCTCCTGCACCCCCGTAATGGCACGAACAGACTCCCCCAGCCAGTAGAACAGGGGGAGTTTATTGCTTCTCCAGGATACAGCACAGCACAGATGTAATCTGGTCACAGGGCAGGCCTAGGATGCCTCCGCCCCCCCTTGAGATGGGGGAGACTGGGCCCCTAAATCCCAGCCCCTTCCCTAGGCTGTCTCCTTCATGATCCCAGACAGAAACTAACTCCCTCACTTCCACCCCTGTCCTCCAACCAGGGGTGACATTCCACCTTCCTTTGTTCCTCTCCCTGGGAGGTAACTGGTCAAATAGGTTATCTCCCTGTCCAATGAACTACTGGACTGGGCCGTGGTACAGACAGCAGCCAGTGGGGGTGTGACGGTGCATTGGGGGTCCCCCGCCTCCTGCACCCCCGATATGTCACGAACAGACTCCACCAGCCAGTAGAATAGAGGTGGGTTATTGCTTCTCCAAGATACAGCACAGCACAGATGGAATCTGGTTACAGGGTAGGCCTAGGATGCCTCAGCCCCCCTTGATATGGGGGAGGGGGTCTCGGCTTCTAAACCCCCCAGCCTGTTGCTGAGGCTGCTTCCTCCATGCTCCCAGAATTGGAATAAATTGCCAAGGGAGGTGGTGGAATCTCCCTCTCTGGAGATATTTAAGAACAGGTTAGATAGACATCTGTCAGGGATGGTGTAGACGGAGCTTGATCCTGCCTTGAGGGCGGGGGCTGGACTCGATGACCTCTCGAGGTCCCTTCCAGTCCTATTATTCTATAGTTCTATGGTGGTACAGACAGCAGCCAGTGGGGGTCACCCGAGCCCAATGTGGGGCAACCAGCAAGGTACCAACACTACGTCAAGTTGTTAAGCAAAAAAAAATTTTTTTAAAAAAGCGTGGCCCCTTTAAGAAATGCTTTCTGTTTTTAGTGATGTTGTGGCCATGTCAGTCCCACAGACACCAGCAGGGTCAGATAATGTCTTAGATTGGGCCACCTTCTGTGGGCGAATGAGACCTGCTTTTGCACTCACTCAGCTCTCCTTGCCTAGGAAGGACTTGTTCTCTCTCACTATCCTTCCTTTCCCAGCATGCATCTGCCCGTCTAACCCGATAACCCAGATCTCTCCCCAAAAGGCAGGTCCCAGCAGCGCCCCGAGGTGGGAAACTGAGGAAGACAATGGAAACCACCAAACGCTTCCAAGAGGTAAAACTTTCCCCTGGCTTTGGAAAGTAGCACCCGAGTTCCCCTCCTTCCCTCCGCCCACCCTCCCGCACGCCAGCCACCATGGTGCAGGACAGCCTGACACTCAGTGAACCCTTGAGAGTGTTTGGAAGAACTTGGACCTCTAATGAGGCCCTTTGTGCCTCCGTTGCACATCGCAGGGCCCCGCAGCCCTAGCCCAGGTCCCCAGGGCAGGCTGTGCTAAGGCTGACAGAAGAGGTTATACATTTGGAGAAGAACAATAGAGTGCAGGATCAGAGGCAATGCTGGACCACCCAAGGCATTTACCAGGAGCTCCTTATGTTCCTGTGTAAGCAGACAGGAACCCCCCTGTAACATCCATCTTTGCTTGCCTGAAGCATACAGGGCACACAGAGCAGGAAGCCTTGAACAGAAGGCCTGGACATGCAGGCTGCTGTGACCCTGAAAGACTGTAAACAGAGATATGCCAATTGCTGATCAAGAGGCTGCCAAGGAGTGCCCTTGACTGAAATCCATATTGATACGAACACACAGCCGTCCACGGGGGGAGGAATCTCTCTCCCAGTAAAAAAAATGTCCAATACTCACAATTTAGTTATCTCTCTTGCAAGTGTAAATTAAGTTGAAACTCCCTTGTAAGAACTGGGGTCACAAAGACAGACCAGTACAATTTGGCATCTTAGATAAGAAAGAGGATACGGGCCCCTATGGGTATAAAGAGGGGTCCAGCAGCACATTTACTCTGAGTGTCAATCTACCATCTATCTGCTGGCTGAGTTACGTGTTTGACCTCCTGAGGTTCCATGGGGACACCCATCTCGTATTCGTCTTTCCTAGGAATTGAGGGACCAGCCTTGGCTTGACCCGCTGGCATTGAGAGGCACAGAAGGGGGTAAAAATTTTACCTGTATGTGGTCCTTTGTCTTGCCTGACACCAGTGTGACGGCGCGTTGGGGTTTCCCCGTTTCCTGCACCCCTGTAATGGCACGAACAGACTCCACCAGCCCACCCTTGAATTTGCTGAATCGGTGAAATGCCCCTGTGACAACGCGTCAGTGTTCCCCCGACTCCTGCACCCCGGTAATGGCACGAACAGATCCACCAGCCAGTAGAACAGAGGAAGTTTATTGCTTCTCCAGGATACAGCACAGAACAGATGTAATCTGGTTACAGGGCAGGCCTAGGATGCCTCAGCCCCACTTGATATGGGGAAGTCTGGGCTCTTAACTCCCAGCCTGTTGCCTAGGCTGCTTCCTCCATGCTCCCAGACAGAGACTAACTAACTCTCCTACAGCCTTGCCCCCCAGCCAGGGGCAGCATTTACCTTCCTTTGTTTCTCTCCCTGGGGGGTAGCTGGTAAGACAGGTTGAGAGACCCCTTTTCCATAATGACTCATCCCCTGCCCTGCGGGGCCATGCTACAGACAGCAGAGGTCGCCCACAGCCCCAGCAAGTTACTCCCCACTATGTCACAGCTGCTTCCCCTTTTTGTGCAGTCTTTGAGAGTAACATCCAGCTCTGCCACAGCTTTAGTGTCCCCCTGTCAATGGTTGGTAAACTGAGGCACGGAGACTGGAACCTGCCCCAACGTTGTTGGCTGTTAGAACCAAACCCAGGTGTCAGGAGCTCTCGCCCAGTGTTCCCATCCTCACGCTGTGCGCTCCGACACCTAATCACGTGGCATTGACGTCACCCTTAGAGCCCAGGTGCTGGACTATGGGAATTCTCGGATCCCCGG